AGGATGTTAACTATACCCCTCACTGAGTGCCCATTGATCTATAAAGTAAAGGACTAGCCCTATGTACCCAGTATGCATGAAGGCATGGAAAAGGGTCCTTTACTTTACTTCTGGTACAGATGTTCTTCCATACCATGATGTCAGACTGTTCAGCATTCTCTCTTTCTCGCTCTTTCTCTTTCGCTCTCCCTCTCCCTCTCTTTCTCTCTCTCTCTCCCTCTCTTTTTCTCTCTCTCTCTCTTTCTCTCTTTCTCTCTCTCTTTCTCTCTTTTCTCTCTCTCTCTCTCTCTTTCTCTTTTGCTCTCCCTCTCTTTCTCTTTCTCTCTTTCTCTTTCTCTCTCTCTCTTTCTCTCTCTCCCTCTCCCTCCCTTTCCCTCCCTCCCTCCCTCCCCCTCTCTCTCTTTCTCTCTCTCTCCCCCTCTCTCTCTCTCCCTCTCTCTCTCTCTCTCTCCCTCTCCCTCCCTCCCTCCCCCTCTCTCTCTCTCTCTCTCTCTCTCTCTCTCTCTCTCTCTCGCCCTCAACCCTCCCTCCCTCCCCTCCTCTCTCTCTCTCTCTCTCTCTCTCTCTCTCTCTCTCTCTCTCTCTCTCTCTCTCTCTCTCTCTCTCTCTCTCTCTCAAAAAACGATTCTTCTTCTTCTTCACTTCCTCTTTTACCGCTGTGGGTGTCGAGGGAGATATAAGGTTCTGTTTCTGGCCGCCTCGACCATAGGCACATCGTGCTGTTGTAGAGCTTCTCTGATGTTATCTTTCCATTTGTTCTTGGTCTACCTCTTGCTCTACGACCTTCTTCTCTTTCCATGTGTGCTTTGTATGGTATGGTGTCACAAGGCATTCTCTCTAAGTGGGCAAACCATTTCACTTGCTGTTAAAACGTTGATTATCCCCTTATAACGTGGTTAATCAGTTCCCTTGCAAGCCAGTTGCTTTCAAAACATCTTCATTACTATTTGTATATGCCCAGCGTGTTCTCATCATTTGTCTGTAAAACCACATTTCCGCCCCTTCCACATAACTATTTACTAATCGGCCAACTGTTCATGGTTCACTCCTACATATTAGGAAATAATTTATTTAGCTCTTGAAAAAAAAAAAAAGTGCTCTTTCTCACCACTCTACAAAGTGGTAAAGGCAGGCGGTAAAGATATTTCAAATGTGTTATGTGTTTGTGTGTTAGGCCCAGTACATCTCTTGTCTAAGGCCCCAATCCATGAGATATAAGGATGTTATAACATACGGTCTTGGAGTATACACATATATATGTATTTGTTACCAGTTTGACTTTGAGTTGGCGGGTCTGTAATTTGAGCAGCTATACCTTGTGAAGTGCTTTCATCACAACGAGTAATAACAAAATCTAATATCTTTATATTAACTGTCCTTTTCCTTTGCAGGCATGGGCAAATTTAATATGTATATTTTAAAAAACAAAACAATGTCAAGTGTTTTTTTTTGGTTTTCACTGGCGTGTGAAAGCTACCATGTTGTTGTCATCTATTTTTCCTTTGTGTGGATTTCTAATATTTGGATGTTTACAATTTGTAATGTCAAGACGGTTTTATGTTTGAGTTTTTAGAATTATAGTTTATTATTATGTGTCTGATTTTTATTTCATTTTGAACATAAATTCCCCAGCATTTTGGGCCCACCTTCCTCTTTTTAATACGAAATTGTACACATCATCCCACCTTTCCTGTGAATGTGCTAGGGAGCGGAGTTTTAATTCACCACACAAGACTGAAGCGGATCAATAGACACAAAAGGGTAGAAGTGGTTAAACTAATAATTCAGCCATAAAGAGTTACTATAACAACTGTATGTGATAGAAGACGACTGGAGCATTGTATTTCTAAGGGAGGTTCACATGACAACCTTAAAGATGAGATAGAAGTTACGATAACCATGCCATAGTCTAAAACCTGAACATAAGTGTTGATAAGGATGTCAAGAGTGTTAAGCGTGTGATATCACGGTGCAGACAAATGTTGTGACATCACAATGACAGTTTGAAGAAAGCTGCCCCACTTTTGGCCTGCACCAAAGAATGGCACCCTTTTGTTTTTTAATTGTTATTATTATTATTATTATTTAAATCAGTGAAAGGGGTTAAACCTGTAGAAATGTCATCGGCAAGTCCAGTATTGTGTCGGATGCCTGTCAGCCCATCAAGTACATGAGTGAAGTAGATCGGGAATAGCCTGTCACAGAAGTGAGAGGTTACAAGAAAATTGTGTGGTTATTGTAATTTTTGTCACACTTTTCAGGTTTTCGTTTGAAACCTCCTCATAAAATTAGGAAGCCCTGAGAAACCTGTGGTAACTTGTTGGGTAGTGAAAGAGTGAAGCTAGGAAGTGAAACAATAACTCAAATTTTGGTAATGTATTATAAGAGAAGAATAGATCCATAAAATATGTCAACATTTTCTTTTCTTTCATTTTTAATTTCCAATTATTCGCCATCTCTCCCCCTAGTTGCACTTGAAGCCAATACCACCCCCTTTTATTATTTCAGTGCCGCTCAGTTGCAGCACAAGGCTGTTATGTCCTTGGATGAACGAAGAAGAAGAAGAAATATATGGTTGATGTGTTAGATTGTGTTTTTAAATATTGAAGTACATGGTTGGTAGGCCAGACCATATGTTTGTTTCATCTGCTCTGTTTGAAAGTTTATCACATGCCCTAACTTTGACTGGTATTGCATTACTCTGATAGATGTTTGTTTGTCTGCATCCATCAGATGAGCATTAATTTTTTCTGAAATAAAAGTGATTTCATTCTACACGCTTTCTTTGTTTGTACTTACTTACCTCAGACGAATGAAGGAGTCCACCTAGTAGGAACAAATAAATTGATGGGAAATTCTTGAAACTTTTAAGTAGTATGATTTAAAAAAAAAATTATAGAATACTCACTGGCAATATAAAAGATAAAAATAAAGATGGTCATTAACTCTTTATATGCCAGCGTTTTATGCTACTGATTACTTTACCTTCTGTCTCCTATACTTTCCATCAACTCTTGACACAGATGATCTTCCATAGTCTGTGTGGTGTGGCACTGATAGTCATGTCTATCCACAACCTTCTGTCTCGATTACTTTCCATCAACTCTGACACAGATGATCTTCCATAGTCTGTGTGGTGTGGCACTGATAGTCATGTCTATCCACAACCTTCTGTCTCGATTACTTTCCATCAACTCTGACACAGATGATCTTCCATAGTCTGTGTGGTGTGGCACTGATAGTCATGTCTATCCACAACCTTCTGTCTCGATTACTTTCCATCAACTCTGACACAGATGATCTTCCATAGTCTGTGTGGTGTGGCGCGGGTAGTCTTGTCTATCCACAACCTTCTGTGTTGTTTACTTTTAATCAGTTCTGAGACAGATTATCTTCCATGCCATGATGTCAGACTGTCTAGCATCATCTCTCTTGGTCTCCCTCTACCTCGTTTCTCCTCCAACTTTCTTACTGTCACAATGTACTCCAATTTTCTTTCCATGACATGATCAATGAATGTAGATTGTCTCCCTGTGATGTAGGAAATCACTTCTCTTCATGAGTCATTCTCTTTCAGTACATCTTCATTACTGTTTGTTTTTTTTTTTTGTCTAGTGTGTTCTTATTCATTTATAAAGCCACTTCCGCATAAATTTTCACTAATTGACTAACTGCTCGTGATTTACTTCAATATATCAGAATAGGATGAATATAGCATTTGAAAATTCTCTTTCTCACAATAATTGACAAAGAAAGACTGCATAGAATGTTCCCAATTTTGTAAAATACTGCCTTTGTTTGATCTATTCTACACGTAACTTCTTGAATACATATTCCAGCAACTGTTATCAGGGTAGACAATACCACAACGTATCGGTTGGCTAGAGTATTGTCCCATTTACTTATTGTGCTGCATTGTTCCACTGTCTGTGTAATTACCATAGGATTTCATGCAACTCATGTTTTTCTCAACTCCCTAAAGGGTCTGAACATCAAGAAAGATTGGCTGGTAAACAGCATCTTGCCGCGGGAGCTTAATATTTCGGCCATATCAAGCGCTACTGTGAAATGGGAAAAAATGATAGCAGAAGGCGTGGTACCAGCAAAGAGGGGCAGGACTGACTAGCACTCAGATGGGCACAGAATATAAGGGACACTTTAGGTAAGAAAGAGCACGAGGCGATGCTGTTCAATCTGTGTTAGTTATAACTGGGATATGCCCCCCCCCCCCCCCCACTTCAATTGTGCGGTACTTATGCTTGTTCGTTAAAGCTTGAGATCAATAGAGATGTAATCCAAGAACATGGCGGATAATTGCTGAATTCCAGTGTCATCGGGTTTCTATTGAGGCAGTGCCAAATTTGGAAGGTTAGGAATCCCAGGAAAAAAAAACTGCTGTGCACGTATCGGAAGGTTAAGAATTGTGCAAGAGACAATGTTGTGTTAAAGTCAGGAGTTACGCATCTTTGAAGAGACTGTTGTGCACACGCTGGGGTGTTTAGAACGTTGGAAGAGACCATTTTGTGCACATATATAGACAGATCTTAAGTCTGGTGTGTTCAGTTGGAAAGGCCAATGCCATATGTTCGCTACAAAAAGAGGCAGTGCGGCCAGCATCGATTTCAGAACGAATGAGAGAATTAAAAACCGGCCTTTACATGAATACAAACAATATAAAAATGGTAATGTTTTTATGTGTTTATTTTCAATTTCCGCTCCCACTGTTTTTCTCATAACTGCATTATCCGTAACGCCGTATTTACAGCAAGTGTTTGTGGTTTCTGTTGCGCGCGCGCTCTCTCTCTCTCTCTCTCTCTCTCTCTCTCTCTCTCTCTCTCTCTCTCTCTCTCTCTCTCTCTCTCTCTCTCTCACTCGCTCTGTCTCTCTCCATACATATTCATTCACCTTGCCAAATGTACATTCTTTCGTAAAATGTTGCGTTTGTCGTACGCACCACGTCTACCCCGATATTTACAGCCAGCCCATTCTTGGTAAAATATATGTCACATAGTTTAGCTCAACATGTGCACATCCTCACGTGTAGTTCAGCTTGGCATGTGCACATCCTCATGTGTAGTTCAGCTTGGCATGTGCACATCCTCATGTGTAGTTCAGCTTGGCATGTGCACATCCTCACGTGTAGTTCAGCTTGGCATGTGCACATCCTCATGTGTAGTTCAGCTTGGCATGTGCACATCCTCACGTGTAGTTCAGCTCACACGTACACATCCTCACGTGTAGTTCAGTTCGGCATGTGTACATCCTCACGTGTAGTTCAGCTCGGCATGTGTACATCCTCACATGTAGTTCAGCTCGGCATGTGTACATCCTCACGTGTAGTTCAGCTCGGCACGTGCACATCCTCACGTGTAGTTCAACTCAGCATGTGTACATCCTAACGTGTAGTTCAGATCGACATGTGTACATCCTAACGTGTAGTTCAGATCGACATGTGCACATCCTAACGTGTAGTTCAGATCGACATGTGCACATCCTAACGTGTAGTTCAGATCGACATGTGTACATCCTAACGTGTAGTTCAGATCGACATGTGCACATCCTAACGTGTAGTTCAGATCGACATGTGCACATCCTAACGTGTAGTTCAGATCGACATGTGTACATCCTAACGTGTAGTTCAGATCGACATGTGCACATCCTCACGTGTAGTTCAGATCAACACGTGCACATCCTCACGTGTAGTTCAGCTTGGCATGTGTACATCCTCACATGTAGTTCAACTCAGCATGTGTACATCCTAACGTGTAGTTCAGATCGACATGTGCACATCCTCACGTGTAGAACTATCAGACCTGCTCACCTTTCTTATAGATTTCTAATAAGTAAGCCTCTATAAACCTTGGCTCTCGCGTCGACCTAGCTCAAAACAGATGCCAGGTCATGCATTGGGAAGTAAAGGCGACATGAGTGATGCTGACCACATAATTGATTGAGTGCCAATGGTCTTTAAAACTACGAGGCTGGATTCATAGGCCTGATAAGGTGCAAGGCTAAAAGGTTTGTTTAAATGGCTATATTATGTGAAATCTTTCCTCATTTGGTCTATCGAGATAGTATCTCTATAATTTCAGACCGAAATTAAACGAGTATCAGAGGCTGACTCTTGTAAAATTACCACCGGTAAAATGAGATGCCCGAAAAAAGCCGCTAACATAAATATCAGAAAGTTAGAAATGGTATTATCAGACTGTGGAAATAAAACTATGCAGCAAATTGTTGAGAAACAGACGATCAAATCGTTTGGTCATTTTGATAAGAATGCGGACAGAAAAAACTACCAAAGCATGTGCTATACATGAAAAGATCTGATGTGAAACAAAAGGTCGCCCTAGGAGAAAGGGATTGATGGCATTAAAGAGCTTTTACATCGACAAAGAATGACAATAGTCACTCCCGCCCATCAAGCAATGGATCACAAACTGTCCTTCCCACGCCGCTTAACGGTAGAAGTGGATATTGTGATGACAATGATGAGGGTGATCATAATTAAACGAATGTCTACATTATCTTCATTAATTTGATCTTGGGAAATAATTTAACTATCAAATAACCCTAGTCATGCTCATCATCATCATCATCAGCTGCTGGGGACCATAAGAGTTAAAGTGGGATTTGAACTTGTGACTGTCGGGGTGGCAAGGAAGAGCATTAGCAGCCGTGCTAACACTGCTCCGTCTGGACCATAATTTCATCATCATCGTGCGCCATGGCGATAAGCGTCATGTGTCGCTATATCACAGGGATCACATATCAGGTCAGTGTTCTTGTCTCACCCCATCCATACGACTAGGCCATCCAAGTATTTATCTCTGTCCCTCCCCTTGTTCTCATTACACTAGTCTTGCTAATCATTACATAGTTCCCTAGTTCATTTCTTCTCATAACATGTCCTGTCTATCTATATCTAATTTCTCAAATGTCTAAAATACACCGATTGTCTATGTCTAATTTTTAAAATGTTCGAAAAACATAGACTGTCTATGTTTTATTTCTCAAATGTCCGAAAAACACCGACTGTCTATGTTTTATTTCTCAAATGTCCGAAAAACACCGACAGTCTATGTTTTATTTCTCAAATGTCCGAAAAACACCGACTGTCTATGTTTTAATTCTCAAATGTCCGAAAAACACCGACAGTCTATGTTTTATTTCTCAAATGTCCGAAAAACACCGACAGTCTATGTTTTATTTCTCAAATGTCCGAAAAACACCGACTGTCTATGTTTTAATTTCCCAAATGTCCGAAAAACACCAACAGTCTATGTCTAATTTTTCTAATTACTTTACGGTTTTCTAAGCCTGGACATTTCATTCAATATGTTGAACATTCAAACCGCCCAAAAAATAACAATAATAAATAATACTTTTAATCAGGCACCACAAAAAAGCAGAGGGAAAAAAGACGAAGTGATATAGATAGCCATTGGTCTAATTTTTCACTAAATGAAGACGCCCATTTAAGTCGATGAAACACTTCTCGTTTAGATTTCAGGTTCGTTTTTTGCTGTCTAGTATCTTCTCTTATATCCATGAGGCTGTCTTACTCTCTGTAACCGACAGTCAATATATGAACAGATATTTGTTAATCTTTGATATTAACAGTCGCCATGGATGTTGGCCTTGACAGAAATATTAACTTTGACATCTTTGCAGCCGTGGATGTTGGTCTTGACATAATATGAACTTTGACATCTCGGCAACCGTGGATGTTGGCCTTGACACAGTATGAACTTTGACATTTCTGTAACCATGGATGTTGGCCTTGACATGAATATGAACTTTGACATTTCTGTAACCGTCACCGTTTATTTGTTTTTGTTTTCTTCAAAATTTGTTTGTTTGTTTACATTGCCGTCATGCTCCTCATCATCATGGCTTCCTGCATCGTTGGTGCTTTCACTGCAGAAGATAAAGGCAAATAACATTATCAAACAAATAATCTACAGCGAGAAAGGGAATATTGACGGTTTCCCACCTATTTTACTTGTCTGAGAGGAAAAGCGAATAATGATGGTTTCCCGCCCATTTTACTCGCCCGAGAGACAGGGAATAATGACGATTTTCCGCCTATTTCACTTGTCTGAGAGGGAAACAAGAACAGTGAAGGTTTCCCAACTATTGTACTTGTCTTAGAGGAAATGGGAATAATGGCGGTTTCCTGCCTAATTTACTTGTTTGAGAGGAAAAAGGAATAATGACGGTGTCCCGCCTGTTTTACTTGTCTGAGACAAAATGGGAATAATTGCGGTTTCCTGCCCATTTTGTCTGAGAGGAAATGGGAATAATGACGGTTTACTGCCTATTTTATGTACCTGGAGGGTAATGGAAGTAATGACGGTTTCGAGCATATTTTACGTGTCAGAGTGGTAATGGGAATAATGACTGTTTCCTTCCTATTTTACGTGCACGAGAAGAAATGGATATAATGACGGTTTCCTGCCTATTTTACATGCCTCAAGGGTAATGGGAATAATGACGATTTTCCCACCTGTTTTACCTGCCCGACTAGTTCAACTAAACTGCTGGGATACAGCATATGATTAGCACGATCAACTTTGTACCGGGTGTCGCGGTTTATCAGATGTTTGGTTGCCGAGCCAGGGCGTACCCAATAGCCCGGGTAATATAGGATGTGACGCTCCTCCCCTCTCCCCCATCCTCTACCTCTTGGTATTTCTATTCATTGTGTACGCGCTCGCTGCGTTTATTCTCATTAGGTGGCCGAACAATTTCAGTCTTTGCTCTCAATTAATTTTGCTCTCAATGAATTTGACGATTTGACGATGCCAGTCTGTTTGGTACAGTTTTTTTTTTTTTTTTTTTCTAGTCTTTCCTCAATATACGGAGATATGAGTTTATGGACGTGCATTGCAATGGCATGAGTTGCAGGTATTAGGAGAACTAGAAGATATAGCCTGACTCAGTCAACCAATCAACTGCTGACTTCACAATTAAGGTTGGCTATAACAGACCTCCAACAGTTTGTCCCTTGTCATCCCTGGATATTTACCTCCTTGTCGATTCGCGATAGGGCGTATGCATGCGCAGCTAGCATCGTTGTACTAGTAACTGGCAGCCTACACACATTACAGTTTCTGCATGATTGGTGTAAGTTCGCAGCGAGCATTCTTTTTACTATGTTGGAGAAGTAAATCAAGTGGCGTATTTATAATGCGTGTTGTGGTCTTCCCCTCTTGCTTATGTTCTTGACCAGGTGCAACATTGATAATATAGAGTTTACAATTATTATAGCCCGGCTCGCTAACATATTTGGTTAAACCTGACTTCGCGGCGACCGGGTAACGAACTCCTTGTGGTCCGGCGGGTTAACGCCCCTGGGGTAGGCAGAAAAGCCACATTTTTCCCATATTTACGGTATCTATCATTGGAATCAAAGCCGAAGGGTTGCGATATCCAGAGTACCGAGCCAAAAAGTTAACAACTCGTGGTTTCTGGATATTTAAAAAACAACAATGAATACACAGTTATTTAAATGTCTATAATCTTCTTATTGTTAATTAATATCTCTTAGAGGTTAGTAAGTTATCGAAAGGGTCTAAATAATAAAATAGAACAAATAAGTCATATTTACCATGACCAGGGCAACACAACCGGTACGGCAAACCTCCCAAAATCAGGTTTTCCTGGCATGTCATTTTGAAGTAGCTGAGAGAGAGGGAAAAACAACTTTAGTCAAATAGTAGTAGTAGCAGTAATTTCGTCAGAGATATGCTTTTCAACCTTTCTGGAGTATATCTGCGGTATATAAAGTAAAAGTAATAAAGTAATTAAGTTAAGATCCATTTTCACGCCTTTAGGCGCATCGGGCATATGGGAAAAGCACCCATATTTTTTCAGACCAATCGGCACTGGGTGGGTAATGTCGTCAGCATTACGCCGGCTGTCTTCCCCATCCTGGTACCCACTTAGGCTGGGTCGACCTGCGACGCCCCATACCACGATATAAATCCACGCAGCCCGCAGTGGGTTTCGATAGAGGAACGTTTGAATTACGAGTCGACTGGCAACCCCTAAGATACGGACGCCGCTATCTGCGATATATAGAGTTTTTCACATTTTATTATGCAGGATTGTGTGTGTGTGTGTGTGGAAACTTTAGGGAACTGAATTTTATATAGTTAGTCTTTACTCTTGATCAGTTGCTCTCAGCCTTCCTAATACCGCCACCTTTTATTACAGTTCCTCATGTTGTGGCGACCCTCAAATGCAGTTCCTCATGTTGTGGCGACCCTCAAATGCAGTTCCTCATGTTGTGGCGATCCTCTAATGCAGTTCCTCATGTTGTGGCGATCCTCTAATACAGTTCTTTATGTTGTGGCGACCCTCAAATGCAGTTCCTCATGTTGTGGCGATCCTC